AGAGAGAGAGAGAGAGAGAGAGAGAGAGAGAGAGAGAGAGAGAGAGAGAGAGAGAGAGAGAATGTGTGTGGCACTGCTACTGGAGCCTGGAGGACAGTGCGACTCTCGTGCACCAGCCAGCGCCGCCACGAGGTGTGCGGTGCAACCATACTAATCCGCCGATGGATTTATGGTCTTAATCACCGGCGGATTATCTCGGACAGCCGCGCTCTGCTGCCACCGACCGAAACATACGCCTGCCTCTTTGCAGATAACTGTACCCAGCTTCGCGCTCGACCTCTCTTTCCCTCTCTCCCTTCCCTCCCTTCCTCTCTCTCTCTCTCTCTCTCTCTCTCTCTCACTCTCTTTCTTTCTCTCATACTCTCTCTTTCTCTCCTTCTCTCTTTACACACTGGTCTCGTTCGCCTTGCTCCCACTGTCCAGTGCGTCTCTGTCACTTCTCCTCTCCAATATGACGTTTCCGGATCTTCTATCCGGTACTAGGGATTTCTATGACGTTACGCTATACTGAGAAAATGAGCCTTTATGTCGAGAACCAAGGAGAGTACGCTACAATCGTACGCTATATCGTAGCTGTATGCATCTCGATGATATTGGAGATCTCGATTATTATGCGTTAGCCAGTTTTGTACTCAGCTAATGATCTCTGTATGCGCATTCAGAACGTCGCAATTTCGCTGGTGGATTATTGTCGTAACGATGGTCTATGAAAGTTTCCCCAAAGTATAATACCCATTGACATACTTCGGCTTCGTCGTGAGCTGTAGTCTACAGAGGTCTGAGTGAAAGCATAAGCGTCTCTTGAAATACGGCCCTATTATCCTCCCATTATGCCGAAGGGTACAAGTTAAGCTCCGAGCTAACGAAGGTCGCGCAAAAGGACGTCCTTCGCGCCTGAAGTGCACGCGCGAAGGGAGGTTTAAAATGAAGAATGTCTCCATAACGGCGTTACAGTTTGCGAACGAGCAACGCTGTCGGCAGCAGCGACGGCGGCAGCGCCGGCGGCGGTGGTTGCGGCGACGGCGGTACCGCGACGGTCGGGGATCTGCAGCGTTTTGGTACATGGCGTATAGCACCGTGGCGGGAACACCGTACCACGCTGTGTGTGGTTCTATAAATCCACCGGGGCTTACTGGCGCAAAGCCTCCCCTGCGGCCTGCGCGCGGCACTCTCACCTCTTTCCCCGTGTGACCTCCTATCTGTCCGCTCCTCCACTGCCCCCGCGTCCTCCCGCCTTGTCCACGCACACTTTGTCCACGTTTTCGTCTCGCCGTGCCGGCCGTGTTCCGGTCCTCGCCGAGACGCGCGAGCAGGTCGTCCGGGATTTTGAGGAGCGTGTCCATGCCGTTCGCTTGATCCGCTTCGAAGTCTCGGACTTGGAGCGCGCGATCCGTCGTTTGTTCGCGAATCAAGTGGCGGAGACGCGGCCGGGGGATTCATAAAGCGTTTTCGGATTTGCGAACTTTCTCACTCGAGTCTCTTCGCTGTTGGCCGCCACTTCGTCGTAGCGACCCTCCGTTTCGCAACTTTCGGAAGTACTCCCAGGGAGACGTTATTATACCACCTGCTGTGCTCCGGGTCATTATAGTATGTGGTCGAATCGACCGGAACGCGTTTGTATATGAAACTTAGGCTTCTTCTCTTAGGAGCTTAGAACTCTCTCAGCTTAACTGTAGACTTCGTTATATCAAGCAAGTAGAATTTTTGTCTCGCAACCCTTTCTTTACCGTTATAGTAATAGCGCGATATTAGTTTAGGTGTAAGATTTGTCAGAGATTTTTCTTATCTTGATTTTTGTCGAATGGAAACCCTCCAAGAGAAATTCTCCCAATAGAAGCATTGTTTGACTAAATGTTTCAACATGTTTAAAATTACATCGTCCTTGTATTTGTTCCGTGAAAGTCTTTCGCAGACTACATTGATGCTAACAAGGCGTTGGAATATCATCCGAAGTTAACGGATTGTTGTCTTTGTAATCGATATCTTGACGCTTCAATGCGCCCATTGTGGAGGTCTACAACCACTTTATGAATCATGAGCTCAAATTTGGCTTCAATGTTCAATGTTATTTTTATGCTTCTCGTTTTTCTGACAAGACAATTCTCGAAATTGCTAATGTTTCAGAAAGCGGAAACTCGACCATGTTTGACCAGAGTAAAATTGATATGTCAATGACGAAATTATTTTCGAAAAAACTTAAATTTAAACGATGTATGACTTTCATTTCACTAACTTTTAATTTATTACGTATCTACCGATATTTATTTCAATTTATTAGTACATTTAACGACCATGGAAACGAGTTGCTAACCAGAAACACAATTAGTCATTATTGGAATCGTCTTCTTCCGTGGAAATTTACCTTATAAATCGTAATTAAAATATCCGTGATGGTTCTGATAATCAAATTTAACATGTCCGATATAAATTGCAATAATTTCACTTACCCTGACTCGAGCTTCCGTCAAATTCGTCCAAACCGCCAGCTCTTCCCTCGTCGCCATGTCTGGATACCGATTTCTAATGAAGGTCTCCTCTAAATTTTGAAGCTGGCTCGACGTGAAATGCGTCCTTTGTCTCCTCTGTCGTTTATTCTTCTTGCCATCCTTGTCGTCATTGTCATTGACCCCGACCACCCCTCCGGGAGAAACGACACCGCCACCAGCACCCAATTCATGTTTCACTTCTATGGGTGTTCGTACATCTGAAAAGTGTTAAGGTATCATATCCTCGATGAAACCATTCAAGACGTCTTGAGCAAGACCGATCGTAAATTGAGGAGTCTTCTGAAGAAACAATTTAATTCCGAGGAAGCGGTAACAAGAGGAAATATCAATTAAAGAGAGATGAAGGAGAAGTTTAGATAGCCACAAAAAATAAAAAGTTTTTACGAATTTTTTAAAAAAGAAATTGATAAAGATATCAACATAGAATTTCGGCTATGCTATTCATCATTGTTTTAAGTGTCAAAAAATTATTGTTATATAAATTCAAAGAAGGTTATATTCAGGTTTTTTATGCTAAGCGTGGTGTCGCTGGACACAAACTGGTGAACAACATTATAATTCGTGTAATGATTTGAAAAAATAGTGTCAGAAAATTTAAAAACTATATTAAATTTGCTAGAGGATGAACTTTTGGTATATGCAGGAAGTCGGAATTCAATAAAAATTTCGACGACTTTCGAACTTGCAAGTCATTTTCCCTCTCTTTTCCTTTTATTTAATACCGTGGGAAGAATACTAATTTTGAAGATTTAACAAAGGACTTAGGCTTATTCTCCAATAAACTTAAAACAGTTCAAAAATTTTCTTGTCTCATTTATTTCAGATTCATATAGTTGTAATGTCGTTTACTAATTAAAGGCATCTGCCGACACCACGCTTAATGTATAAAACCTGGATGAAATTTTCATTCTTTAAAAATAATTTGTTATACTTAAAATAATGATAAATAGTATGATCAAAATTTCATATATCGATATCTTTGGAAAAATATATCTATTGCTTTGAAAAAATTCGTAGAAATCTATTTCTCAGTTATCTAAATCGGAATCTTCTCTTAAGAGAAAAAATTTCGATCGAGATGATTTCTGTTTGAGTTACCGATGTGCAAAATTATACTTTATGCATGTATTTTTTATCTATGTATTTATATCTATCGTGAATATATATATATATATATATATATATATCAGAGATTCGGGGTGCATCAAAGATGCAAGTAGCAATCCGTTGATGTTTACGCTGCTTTCACATCTTTGCGGCGGAAAATGTGACGGACTCACGTTAAGAAACACACAGAATGCCTGGCGCCATCACCATTACAACCATCAAATATTATAAAGGATAAAGTGAAATGCGCGGCCGAAGGTTTGTTGTTAGCCGGGAACATAAGATTCGGAGAGATATTTCAATTTGCGGGGATTTAGACCGCGGGTGAGAACGTTCCGGCTAAGTGCCGAACAAACGTGCAAACAAACGTAGGCGACCTTTTCCGTGCCTCCCATCCGCCGCGCCATCCACCATTCTGCGCATTCGTTCCAGAACTCCGTGCAAACGCAAGAGAGAAAATCGCGTTCTCCCCCGGGCAAAACTCTTCTCTCCCTGCCGCGAACTAAATTTTGATTCGCAAATACGTCTCTCGTTACGGAGTCTAATGTCGAACTTTGAATTACGAGTGATTGTGAATACACGAAATATATCGCGTATATCTCATGCGCTTTGTGTAAAGTGTGTTGGACATACACGTTTCAAAAGTAATAACATTAGTATATCTAACAAGAAAATATCGCCAATATCGACATTAATAGAGTTACCAATTGTTACTAATATAACAATTAGTAACTGACATAAAATATACCAACACAATTATCAACAACTGGTACAAAAGACATCGACAGTTTTAGACATGATAGTACGATGACTCCTCATTTCACGATTTTGTTACGCACATAAAATACAAAGAAGATCGTGTTGTCTCTGTTACTCTTACATAATCGAAACGTACCTTTTCGGATATCTGGCCTGTGAGTGGTATTTGTGCGGTTCCTCGGTTGAGCAGTGGAGAATCCGGATGGTGTCGTGGGGGTCGCTCCCGGTGTGCTGGGGTTACTACCGCCGGGAGTGTGGGCGCCATGACCCGTAGTGTCGAGCCTTGCGAGACCCCCGTTGGTCTCGTCCCTGAAGTCACTCTGCGCCCAGACTGCAAAACACATCACACCCTCTTGCAACGTCGTCTATAGGCGCACAGTAATCCTTATTTATTCTCGACCGAGGCCGATCGTTAATTAGAGCGCCGCCTTTCGCTTTACGCTACGTCATCCCTGCACGATTTCGCGGCATAATAGACGATGCATCGCCTTGTCCGATTCAATCAAAGCGAGATCCATGTGTGTGTGATTAGACAGATACTGATTTATTATATAAATCTTTATATTAAGACTTTATATTATGGCTACTCGCCGCAGCCATATTGATTTATGATCTTAGAAGAGAGCGGGAAAGCATATCCTCAAACTTCCTGCGAAATATGTAGAAATGAAAAGATACGTTCACAAAATGACACTTGCAATCGGTGGAGCAGATCTGTAAAATAGCCTGAATACATTCCTTTTGCTTTAACAATAAATAATCGTATAATTGACAATATGACATATAAACTTTCTTTTTAACTATGTTTTTATCACGTTAATTTTACGATTACTTATTGATTGGACAAGAGGAACATTTTCGAACTATTTCGCGCAACTACTCAATCGATTGCAAATATCATTTTATGGATATATCTTTTTATTTCACAGAAATGTGGAATATTTGTATTTGTATTTTCTCGCTTCTAACATCATTAATAAAAAATTCTTCAGCGAGTATCAAGATGCCTTAACGTTTACAGTCCGGCTTTTTGAACGACTCTTACATTTGAACCAGAGAACTTTTTCGTATATATCAAAGGGTAGATTAGTAAAAATATGAGACTCCTGCCGCGCGCCACTGTAGTGGCTTGTCGGATTGTAAGTGTTACTAAGCTCTCAGATATCCCATCGCGTAGTATAGGAAAAGCTAATAAGAGCTAGTCCAGATCTCTAATAGTGTCAAACGCATGTTCCGACAAATCCCTTGGAGTGTGTATTTGACACTGTTAGAGATTATCCTCCCGAAAATTAAAATTCAAATTTCGTACCAAGATCCGCGGTTTTATCGGGCTTTTATTAGGCCTCCCTGCATTACGTCATAGAAGCCTTAATTTTAATCTTTAAGTAATATTCTGCGCATATACACTTCAGTAAAGCGCTAATTGTGATGTTTTTCTGAGTTATCGCAGAAAATTTTTTTTTTATTATGAACAAATAAAGAGATAATTTCTGCCGTTCTTATCTTCCGCCTTGAACGTCACTGCAACATTTTAATGTCAAGAGACGCCACCTCGGAGAACCTTCAGATTGTAATTCATCCTTTTTTACAATTGAAGATAAACGGCTCACAATGTGGCACTAATAGCACCACATAATTCGCACGAATGGGATGATTAATAAACGCGTGTTACTTCGCCACCCAAGTAAAAGTTATGTCTTGGTGGGGCGTACCGGTCCTCAATCAGCGACTATTTATCTGCCGACGGAAGCAGACGCGACGACGAAAAGGCGAAAAGGGCCCTCCGTTGCTCCTCTTCGCTCTCTTCGACGTATGCCGCTCACGTATACTCATCGTAACACCGTGTGCTTGTGTGCGGCGAAGTCACGAGCAAGCTGAGAAGTTAATCGGCTCGGTCGTTTAGTTTCGTCCCGTTTAGTTATATTTGGTTTCCACGGGGGCGGCAAAGAGGAGGGACGTGGTTCACAATTAGTCGGCGCATAACTCGAGCTGATTTAGTGCCGCGGAGCTTACTACGAACCTCGAAGACGCGCGTGTCACTCCACCTCGATACCGCCAAGTGTGCGCGGCGCACACGTGTTCGGGCGGACGTGTATGTGCGGGGACAGAAGGGACTTTGCGATATATTTCAAAGACGGAGATTTTGAGCACGCTCAACACGGAATTTTCGAATTAGCCAATCCTGCCGAAAGATCGACGACGGTATAAGTTGACAATGAGGAGTCGATTAAGGGTTTCTGCTTCTTGAAGAATTTGAGCACTGACGAGATATTACTAATTGTTTTGGTTTAGATAGCTGAAAAATAAGGTTTTAGGAATTTCTTTTCAAAGAAATAAATAGAAATGTTGATATACGTTTTTGACATACTATTTATCATTGTTTTAAATATAAAAATTATTTGAAATTACTGAAATTCCTTTCAGGTTCTTTTGCGCAAAGCGCTGTACGTCTCTAACTGGTGGACAATATTATAGCTTATGTAAAAGTCTGAAACAAATGGTACAAGAAAATTTATAAAGTGTGTAAAATTTTCTGTAGGATGAACTCATATCTTTTGAAAAATTTGCAAAATTAGAATTTTTCCTTAGGACCTTAAAGAAAAAAAGAAATATAAAGAAAAAATGACTTTTAACTTCAAAGTGATTATATTTTCTTAAACTCCGACTTTTGCATATAACAAAGATCCATCATCCAGTACATTATATAGTACATTATATAGTACATTATATAGTTTTTAAGTTTTTGGGTTCTATTGACTTAGATTATTACATGAACTGCAATGTTGTCTATCTATAAAGTCCCACTATATTGCGTTTAGCACAAAAATCTGGACGATAAAATTTCAAAAATTTTTTAATTAAAAAATAATTTTTTATACTTAAAACAATGATAAGTAGAGCCGGAACTTTGTATTGGATCTTTATTCATTCCTTTAAAAAAAAATTCGTAAAAATCTACTATCCTTTCTGCTGTCTAAACCAAAACCTATCTTTAAAAACTGTCTGGGTAAATTTTCGTAAAGCCAAAGGAGTCCTAAAAGGTCTGGAAATAATTGAAGAAGGACGTCATTATCGACCATTTTTGGTTATCGATATAAATACCTGAATATTTAACGTGTAATGAAATATTAATTTTATAATTTACACCTTAATGTATTTCATCGTTATGCAGACCTATAATGAAGTATGTAGGTATTTTTATGAAACTTGATTTTTCTGCAGTTATCGTTTACGCTGATTTTGCACAAATTTATCGACAAATTTACCGCTAGGTGGTCATTGAATAGCAAAATTTTTTATCACGCCAAATCTTATAAGGCCAACGTTCTTTAGTATCACGTAGTCGTTGACTGTAGTTTTAAAGTTTTTGGGTTCTATTGACTCAGATTATTACACGAACTGCAATGTTGTCTATCTATTAGAGGCGTCCCACTATATTGCGTTTAGCACAAAAACCTGGACGATAAAATTTCAAAAATTTTTAAATTAAAAAATAATTTTTTATACTTAAAACAATGATAAATAGTAGGGGTGGAACTCTGTATTGGATCTTTATTTATGTCTCAAAGTTAAATTCATTTCAAAGTCGAGACTCACACGTGTGTACGAGGAATTCGGATTAATTTTCGTCGGAAATCCAAAAGATTTTGTCACATTGACGGTGTGAAACGACGATAAGAAGCGATAACGAAACAGTTCATAGAGAATTTCTGTCGAGTTACACCCGCGCGGCTATTTCAAGCGCGGAGTTATGACACCCCAGTAGACCACGGGTCGGTGCAGTTTATCACCGCGCCGTTTCCAAGTGTGCTCCACGTTGCGAGTGAATGCGAGATATTTTTTTGGCAACTACTTGCAGAAGACGTACCTGTCGGCGGGCGCGATATTTCGACGCGGATATACGTTACCCGCGGCGTAGATTCACGCGCCGTAATATACATAGTTCGCGCGTTCTAATCGAGGAAGTAGTCGAAGTTGTTGACGGACACGCGCCGAAACGGTGGTTCGCAGTGTCAAATGGCTTCTCAGTTGTCGCTGTCAACTCCTCGTCAGCGAGCTCATCGGGCGAGGGAGGCTCAGCAATAGAGACAGTCCTGCCGACTATTCCAAGTCGCCAGTGCGTTTTGATGGAATCTTTTTTTTTCCACTAAAAATCGCGCGCGAATAACATATTCCCGAAGACTGGCGGATTCCTCCCGGGGGCAACCTGTATTTATAGCTCGGCTATAAATTCGTAGGAAACCACCCTCCCTCCCCGTCACCCCTTACGAGGGGACGTGGCGAAAATCGCTGCACCGCCGTGGAAAATTGATATTGACGAATATCGCGACTTTGCGTCGCGTAAATCAATCCCGTCGCCCGGGTTCCGGGCGATCATGCACGCGCGTGGATTCTCGTCACGCGTTCTCGTTAGAACCGCGCCGTGTATGTTTACACAATCATTACTGTTATTTATCGCTTTGCTAGTAGGGATTGAAGCCAGTGTAATTTCGGTGAGTTCGGATCTCGATCTGCAGCGCGGCCAGCACATAAATTATCTCTGTATTTATTCGCGACGACGCAAACGCGACGATTAGCATAAGGTAAATTTGAAGTGTTTGAGGTAAGAGTGAATTGTGTTCGTATAATATGTAGGGGTTCGACTTCGTACGTGATACGGGTCTCAAAAATTATAAATAGTACGCACAAAAATCCTGTCGATGACAATTAAGCTTACACTGAGAGAAATCGTTCGATAAAAAATTAACAAACGAATATTTCCGATCAAATTCCAATTTAATTTTTATATCCGGATTAGGACATCTGATTAACCCTCGGTTGTCACCTAGGGTTCAGTAGACCCTAACTTTTTTTCTCCGTTCGGTAACTCGGTAATAAAATTTTTAGCTCAAAATATTAAAAATTTTAAAAATTATGATTTTTTTCATAAAACATCAAAAATCCCTGAAACTAGTAATTTCACGAATTTTTTTATATATAAAAAATATATATTTGGACTTCTTGATACAAGTAATATATTCTACAAATATTGAAGTTTCTTTTATATTTTTTTGATGCCATTTATTTGAGAGCAGTGGCACTTTGAAATTTTGTACAGAGTCCATCGAATCCTGTGTGACAAGTTTGTTACGGGGCGCATATGTGACAACCGAGGGTTAAATTTAATCGGATACTTCCGATCATAGCGGTATTTCATCAGATAAACCGACCAAAGAAAATAATTAAATCACGCGATACATTGAGAGAAATTATCCAATAAAAAATTAACAAACGAATATTTCCAATCAAAATACCAATGAGTTTTTGTCCGGTCAGGAAATATCCGATGAG